CTCACACCTTATTTATCCAATCCATCTGTTGATGGACATTTAGGTTGCTTTCATGTCTTGGCTATTATAAATAGTGCTGCTATGAACATTGGGGTGCACGTATCCTTTTCAGTTGGAGTTTTCCCCAGATACATGCCCAGAAATGGGCCTGCTGGATCAAATGGTAAGTCTATTTTTAGTTTTTAAAGGAATCTCCATACTGTTTTCCATAGTGACTGCACCAAATTACATTCCCCCAACAGTGTAGGAGGGTTTCCTTTTCTCCACACCCTCTCCAGCATTTATCATTTGGAGACTTTTTAATGATGGCTATTCTGACTGTATGAGATGATCCCTCATTGTACTTTTGATTTGTGTTTCTCTGATAATTAGGGATATTGAGTATCTTTTCATGTGCTTCTCGGCCATCTTTATGTCTTCATTGGAGAAATGCCTGTTTACATATCCTCATTTTTTGATTGGGTTGTTTGTTTTCCCTTCTTTATGATTGGACCATACATGTACTTAGGACTACAGTAACCATTCAGCATCCTTAACGCAACAAGTATGAGGACATAAAGCCAAGACTGGAAGATAAGGAACAAAATATCAGAACTTAGTTCCTTGATATGATCACCGACTCAGTGGAAAAGCTTTAGAGCGACTCACCTGCAGAGTGTGTATCACGTGAAAAAACCAAGCTCCTATAAGTATAAGCTACCATTAACTTGATGTATGTTACTTGCAGCTGAAAGCACTCCTAATTGATAACAGATTTTTAGAAGTTTGGAGAATATACAAGAAAAAGTTATACAAACAAACTCTTTGTAGTAGCAGATCAATAAGCCTAAATACATTCATGCCAGAAACAGACAAATAAAGAAATGGTAAAAGCACAAATAAATGATATTTTTGCTGCAGCCTATTTGCTCCCTAAGACTATGTCCACAGTATACTTATGAACATACTAGATCAGAGATGGCATGGCTGTTGCCACTCTGCTGTCACACAGACATTGCTAATCAATTACAGCACTCTCTTCCTTTAACCCAGGGCCAGCTCAGACACAATGTTCCAGGCCACCAGTACCAGTTTATTAAAATGGACACTCAGAACGAAAGCTATTTGCCTTCTCTGTTCTAGATTCCTTTTGCTTTTCTCACTTTCTTTTTCTTTTTCATTGGACTTTGGTTATTTTCCTTTTAGTTATAAGTATATCATATGATAGATATAATACAGGAAAAAATGTACACTGTCTTCTTTCAACCTAGCCAGAAATCATTCCTCCAATGACCCCCACCAGAAATATGTACGTCAAGGCTCTTAGTCTGGGGTCCAGTAACCTTCATGGAATCCATGGGTAAAATTCAGGGATCTATGAACTCAGATGGGGAAATAAATACATCTTTACTTAAATGTCTAACTGAAACTGACTATTTCTTTTGATGATAAGTGTAGGCAACAAACCAGAGAGCTTTCTACTGGCAGCACTCGTGACTGTCACTAACAGAAATCACAGATATCGTTTCACTACATTTTAGTTGTTGTAGATATCTCAAAATACCATTTATACTCATCCTTGCTTCACAGTTTCTACTGTGAGGTATTCAACTACTGCTAGATCTATTTAAGGCTTTAATAAAGAAGGTCGTGTTATTATATCCTATATTAGATTTTTAAAAATAGTCTGGCAAAAGAATTTAAGTATTAAAATTAGTATTAACTTGAATAGTATTTAAGTTTGGTTTGTAATCCTATTTATTTTATTTTATGCATTTAAAAACATGAGGCTGAGAAGGAGTCAAAGCTTCACCAGACTGCCAAAGGAATCTATAGCACAAAAGTCCAAGAACCTCTGCTCCAACATCATTGTCATCACAGGTAAGTTTTATTGAGCACACTGTTCTAGCACTTTACAGGAATGCATTCATTTAGTTTTTACAGCCCTGCTATGGAGCATATAGTATTATTATCCCCATTCTATAGATTAGGACAGTGAGGCATAAAAAGGTGAAATAAAAAGTCAAGGTCTCAGGTAAATAATGGAGCAATTCAGGCTATCTGGCCACAAAGCATGAACCCTTAACCAACACTCATTACCATGAAATGAGTAATCTCTATTACTTTCATTCTGGAAAAGGCATTACCCATCCAGATCAGAATGAGACAGGGGTGGTTAGTTATTATTTGCCTTATTGTGTGGTAACAGTAAGGATGCACCAGTTTGGAGTGGAAACATGCCTTGAGCAAACTGGGAACACAGTGTTACTGTCAGGTTTGTGCAATATCTCACTGCCTTTGAATTTACATACCACTGATGGGGCTTTATCTTTCCCATACAGACTTGTAAAACCCCTTGGAATTCACTCCTTGGGCCCCTGTAATGCTCTTACTTAGCTAAGAATTTGTGCTTAGGCTTGTAAAGCTGAGGAAGATTTGCTCCAATAGCAGAGAAGCGAGGAGGCTGTGGGGAAGCTGGAGCAAACTGCATGGGGAGTCAGAAGAACAGGCTTAGAGGACAGGCTCAGTACTACCTATTGAACTAGTTAACCGCTCCAAGTCTCAGTTTACTATGTATAATATAGGCAGGAAGACATATATGAAGACTGAATGAAGGCAGAAACATAAAAGGGCTTTCATTCCAAATGTCAGTAAATGTACGTTTTAGTTTAATATAAAGATATATATATATAAATATATATATAAATACATATAACACTTTGAACATGAAGACTAACACACGGTAGTCACACAATAAATGAGGAGGATGGTGGTTGAAAAAAGAGGCTGCCCCTTCAGAGGTGCTCAAAAGCAGACTGTCTAGGTTCTTGATGGAGCAGTCATAAAAGGTGGTAGGCAATAAGCAGAAAGCTCAGAAGCTTGTTTTTGGGGTTCCTGCCCAGATACAGGTCTCTGAAGTACTTAAGCCTCATGATTCATTCAAGGGTGTGTGCTTTGCAACTGGGAGCACTGGCCTGGGGATATTTGTATATTTCTATTTTCCCCTTTATTGTTTAACTAGGGAGGAGTGGGAAAGCTGGATGTGATTCTCTCTGGGAACCTTAGCCAGTTGCAGTTCAGAAGGGAAGAGACAACTTTGATTCCACTTATCCATCCAGGACGTGCTTATACTAAAAAATTATTCATCGTTCATCTGAAATCCAAGTTGCAGTTTAAGTGGGCACCCTGGGGGAGAGAAGTATCTTCAGCGCCAAAGTGCCATCTCTAAAAATAGAATAATGAAATAGCAGGCACCAGATGAGAGCAAAAAACAAACTAAAAACCTGTTTTTGAAGAGCCTTTCCTTATGTAGAGGTGAGAACATGCTGCTTTTCAAAATATTCTATGGGTCTGAAAGGAGAAATGCTATGCATTTGAGCACTCCACCAAACTCCGTAGACAGCAGGCACTTGATATTCTGCAATCATAGGGTTGCCAGATAAAATGCAAGACGCCCCATTAAATTTGAATTTCAGATAACTAATAAATGATATTTTAGTACAATTATGTCCCAAATATTGAACAGGATATGCTTATAATAAAAATGATTTGTTGTTTATATGAAATTCAAATTTAACTGGGTTGTCCTACATTTTTTTGTGTTAATCTACCCACCCATCATTCATTCCAACATTCTCACATTAGCCAATATAGGATTTCAACTGCCCGATGAGGTTACCACCCTATGAAGTCACTGCTCAATAAAGCTTATTATAGTCAAGACATTATAAAGAAAAGATGCATTAAATTATAAATTACCTATCAGATGCGTTCTGTGTAAATAAACTTTATTTACTTTTTCTTAGGTTTGCAACTACATTTATCATTTAAAGGGACTTAAATTTAAAACCTTAAGATTAGTAAGAAGAAAAAGTTGATGGTTAATAGAGAAAACTTCACCTTATGGAAACACTGTGGTCTGAACTTTAGGGAAAACTTAATAAGCTTGAGAACTTCAGTGGTCTTACCTTTGAAACTGAGAGCTGGACAAATCATACAGTATCATCCAACTCAGGCATGTTCCACAGAGCAGGATGGAAAATATATACATGACAATTAAGCTCAACATTACGTTTCTTACTGGTAAATGTTCCTCCTCCAACTCTAACCCTTCCTGCCACACAGACACTGTTCCTCCTCTTGGCATCCCTTTGTCAGCCGATGAAGCTACTGCTAAGACAGCAGAGCTAGAAATGCTAGTGTCACTTTTGACTTACCCTCGTCTCTAGGGTTCCAGAGTTTGGGCCCCAGTTCGTCTCTCCCAACCACTGCAATACTTTAGTTTCCCCAGGTCTATTTGCTGTCTATCCTGGTACTTGTCAACTCTAACTGCATATTACAATTATCAGGAGAATTTTTAAAAATAAAAATTACTCATGCCTGGGCCCCACCCAGACCAACGGAATCAGAATTACTAGGGGGTGCAGCACAGACGGCAGCCCTCCAGGATACCTTAAGGTATAGCCAGGACTGAGAACCACTGCTCTACCCTAATCTAGCCTCCCAGGTCATCTCCACACAGCCCAACTGACTTAGATGGTTTCAACAGATTACTGTTTAAAAATTAAAACACACACGACAAACATCAGTGGTTCCCTTTTGCGTAATAAAGCAGGCCCCAATTTTTCAACTTAACCTTTAACCATCTCAAAACCTATCCTTCCCCCATCCCTACTGTTCTCATCCCCTAACTTTATGCTCCCCGGAATCCATCTATCGCTAGGAGCCAGGCCTCCCCGTCCTTTCTCTTTTTTCACCAATGCACTATCCATCTGGGATGGTCTCCTTCACCCCACACGTGTTTCACGCATCCTTCAAGGCCAATGTCAATGTCTCTTCCTCCTAAACTGCACCTTCCGGAGTTGTAATTTTTCCTCCTTAAGCCTACAGGGGTTCGTTTGTAACTCTCCTGATCATCCTGATTTGTTGGATTTCACTCCTTCCTTGCAATAGAGTAAACTTCTTAAGGGTTAGACTGGTGTCTTACTCTTATTACAAGAGTCTAAGAGAGCACATTTCTGGAATTCTTTTGCGTAAGGCTTACAAAATTTGAGTTGATACAGACTATGCCGTCTGCCTACCCGCGTTTTTTCATTATAACTAAAATGTGATACGGAGTAGGCTTGTCCTGTTTGGCATTCTGGCTTCAGGGTTCCCGGGCAGAGAGAGAAATAAGGAAGTGATGTAAAAACAGTGGCTGAACATCTCAAGTTTCTTTCATCTACCGCGCCAAGATTGGGGAGCAGTGGAAGTTCCTCAAACTGCAGGGGGAGAGATGGAGAACAACTTTATTAAAGACAGAGGCAGGTTTGGGCAACAAAGAGCAGCAGCACTAATGACCTGAAATAAATCTTTATAATTAGTTTCAGTGCATGAGTAATAGTTTTGTTTTTAAGTTAAAGTACTAGGTTTGTCCTTGATTAAATTACCAAGCACTTTCGCCTGTCAAAATAGGTAGAAAAGAACTCTGTGAGCACTAAAGGTTTATAAACTTTCTAGTAAGTCTCGCGATTCAGCCCAAACTGTGCGGGGTTTGCTGGAAGCTGGGGGTTGGGGTGGAGGCGCTCCGTCGGCCGGGCAGAGCAATGCCGGATTCCTGCCCAGCTGCGGCCCGGGGGCGCGAGAGTTCCTGCTAGGGCCGGAGCCTTTGC